TTCAGTGCAATGGACTCGATCTTTCTCCTTAGAAGCATCAGGTCATTGACTGTCGCTGCTGCAATTTGACTTCATAAGTTTTTTCCATACGTTAGGTTAAATCTCCATTGAGCTGTTGCTTCGCATTTGAAGATGATATGGGTGGCTGATTCCTCCTCCTCATTACATAATCTGCAGATGGGATCATCGTTGTATATGCCCATGTTGTGTAGATGTTTTCTCAGATACCAATGACCGGTTAGTAGTCCTACCACTCCTCGGTGTTTGGCCCTCTCCAATTGCAGCAGTGTTTTTGCCAGTCTCGGTGAGGGTTGTTTCATCATATGTTTACTATGTCTACACCGCTAGAGTTTATCCACTTCTCCTTTTGTTTTGTTTGGATCCATTCTGCGATGGAATATTCTATATTTGTTTTTGTTATCCCAATTGTCGGTTCGGGGCCTAAGTATGATCTTGCGGATCCTCCTCTGGCCAGTCTGTCTGCTTTCTTTTTACTCAAAATTCCGCTGTGCCCTGGCACACAAGACATCATCAGGTTGTTGTGTTTCCCTAGGCTTTGGAGATTTTGGATGCATTCACCGACTAATTTCATGTGATTCTTTTACACTCTAATGCTTTAATGGCTGCTTGACTATCAGATCTTATGAGGATTTTTTTTGCCAGTGTAACCTCTTTTAAGAATTTCCGACCGAAGTGTACTTCCCTAATGAGTTTGACTGGTCATGTTTTGCGCTTGTACAGAAAACGCCTGATCCGGTTCCTTCGTTTGTTTTGGAACCATCTGTATACCAAATCATTGTATCTGATGCTATCCTGTGTTTTTCTTCTCACCACCACCACATAGTATTATGCAAAAGAATCGTTTTTTCTTCTTTTTTCAGGTTTCTATCATATTATATTATTAATACAGATAAACATTAGTTTAATTCCCAATATGGGGAAGAAAAGATTATGTAGGTGGATAATCTGTTCTACAAGTAAATAACAACTGTAAGACCAAGAAGGAATTAATGTCCATCCGAACAAAAAAGAATATTCCATTCTCCGATATTCTAGCTGAAGCCTCGGAATGTTAAAGTTTCCTATTGCCCTACAAAATAAAACGATATCTGATTCCAAACGGCAATATTAAATTAGAAGTGAATTATCCGAAATGTAAAACCGCAATCGCCCTTCGAAACGGATGTGTAAGAAGTTCGAAATTTCAAGCAATTCAAATTATCGAGTTTCGGATTATAAATAGCGACTATTCTGATGACAACTTTAAGAGATTGAAATTGCCCACTTCAGACGGAATACAAGTCGAATAAAAATAAAACGAGAAATTCTTAGACGAAACTAAGCTTCAAAAGAGAACCACACATTCTAAGCGAAAAGGAAGGAGTAAAACTCTTTTTACCCCCACGATTTAACAAGAAGACAATTCAGTTTTAAGTCCTTTCTCCGGCTCAGAACTCCTAATTGCTTTTACAAAAATAGATTCCTCTGCTTAGAGGAGACGTTTTTCCATAAATAGAAGCACAAAGCATATAGTTTGAGAAAATGGTGGTAAGAACGTTATTCCTCCTTCCCTTTTAATAAAAGTGAGCAATGAGAACAACACCTGTGGTCCATTGATCAAACGAAAGAGATATTGATCGCTGGTATGATAATATATGTACTTCATAATCAGAGAGATACCAATAATAATACACATATAACCAATTGTTCATAATTACCTTGTTACTAAGCTTTGGTTGACAAGTGTTGGCGTGAACCCACCCAAGTTCGGATTCGAGTCTACTGAAAACGATGAAAAATTTCAAGACTGGAGTTTTGAGTGAGGAAAGGCACTGAGAGTGTAGCCATTAGCCAGCAAATGACTGTCCGAACATACTGAGCTTACGACGGATTGCGGTGAAAGCCATACCAGTTCTTGAAATCCGTTTATAAGGGAAAATTTAATTAGGCCAAACATTTTTTGAACATTTTCTTTCACTAAACTGTAATAAAATAAATTAACATAGTTTTTTTTATTCTTGTTATAGTTCCTATAACCTTGTAAAACTGGAACAGCAAATTTTAAAATGAGTCACGTAAGTAAAGACCAAGTAAGAAGGTGAATGAAAGTTTTACTACAATTGAAACGGTTTAAGCGTTGACTCAGCGCTCAACACTTTAAGGTAAAGGTCCAGGGTTCGAATCCAGCGGCTGAACCCGATGTACTTACAATTTTTTTTTAATACCGATACCCGGGTTTCACCGCATTTTAATGTTAGTTTTGATTTGGGGTATCAGTGTTATAATAATAATTTTATAATAACAGAAAAACCCACGGTGGAGACAGACACAGTGTAAATGACCCTGTACCAGTTTAGCATGAGTTCACAGACTCTCAGACCAAAACCCATCATCAGTTATGATTTTGACAGATTCTATGAGTGCCCTACAATCGATTTATTCGGTTAAATAAAAAACATTTAACATTTATATAATATTACGTACACGAGATGTTATCATTATGAAAATCCAAAATGAAAGACAGTTAATTTTTTGGATCTAAGCTCACTGGAATCCATGGAAATGTGCGGGCTGATTCACCTATACCGTTTGAGGATTTGTAAACTTGATTTAAATAAAATTATACTGAATCTAGAAATACAAAAGTGGCTTTGGCTCTTGCTTGAGAGAAAAAGTGTGTGCGCTTGTGTGTGTGTAGTATAACGATGAATGTGCTTTTTTTTCTCTCCCACGGCCTTATACTCTTAGATTCTGTGTTGGCAGCAAACAATAATCAGTAGACATAAATAGTAACAAGCATCTACCAAAAAACAACGGTTAACCACTTTGGTATGGGAACGACGTCACGTGAAACTGTTGAAGTATCTTGTTCAAAACAAGAAAATCAATTAACTGACCACGCACCATGCCAAAACTCAATACGAAATAAAAAGGTCAACACAACAACGACAAAGAGCAATAACGAGAAGAATGCCCTTTGTTCATTCATGCTAAAGGTAATTATAGTTTGTGAAGATTTGCGATCGTATAATGCTGCTGATAGTCCCTGATACGGAAAACAACCTGGGAAGGCCGATGGACAAAAACAAAAGGAAATCAGGGAGGCTTTTTTTAAACAAGGGTGTCTGCTGACTCATTGCGCGCAATTTCTTGATGCCCCGGAACCCACCTTAACTTTTTGCAGTATTTCGACTAGGTGCTGTTTCATGAGTATGACTGTGTCATCCGCGCTCTCTGTACGCCAAGTCCTTTTTTTATTAAGTTATTCATCGCCAAGTACTTTAGGATAAAGTCGGTGACTCCGCCTTGGGGGCAACTTATCAACTATGTATCCTTTGTTTCACGTTCTAGACAAGTTCTAGTTTCACCCTTCCGTTATTTACCATGTTTTTATACATTTTATGGTCGAAGGTTCTACTCCATTGGGTGTGTTAGAGCAAATAACGTACATAGTCTTCGAGGAAAAATTCGGCAAAGCTTACAAGGGTCTATACTGATTTATAAACCACCAACTAACAAGAGTATATTATTAAGGAAACCATATTGGGCCGACGAATGTAAAGCTATTATATGGAAGAGACAATTTGCGTTAGCAAACTTTAATAAACTCAAATATTGCAAATTTGCTTACAAGCGTTTCCATGCTCCTAAAGTCATAAAATTGGCAAAGAAAAAAGCTCGGTACGCCTTCTGTTCTACATTCAATAAAAGTTCTTTTTTCAATATTATGCGGAAAAAGCTTAGGCTTTTTAGTAATTGTACGAATCGTAAATTTTGTGGTTTGTGTGGGTGATTGGGTGGAAGAATTCATTCGAAATTCTGCCCTCAAGGGGCCCCTTAGTAATATTTACCAGGAAATTAATTTTTCTTATATTTTAACAAGAGTTTTCATGTACGAACTTAAAATTGCACTTAAAACTGGCAGTTTTGCTGCTGGCTTTGATCAATTTCACTATTCAATAAAGGATAATTTACGCAAATCATGTAAAATGGTACTTTTTCATTTATTTAATAAAATTTGGCTAAACGATATATCGATACTGCTTGGAAAGTATTAATAGTGAAACTAATTCTAAAAGCCCACAAAATGCTGACATACCGTCCTATGTCACTAACTTCATGTGTAGCAAAAACATAAGAACGATCAATAAAAAATCGCCTCCAATGGTAGTGGATTTGGTTTTCGCAAAAGGAAGTGGATATTGGACGCTCAGGCTTAAGTTCTCTTTCATTTATATGAAGGTTTCGCCTTCTGTATACTTAGCAGTAAGATGTCACTAACAGGGATCCCGCATACTGTTCTTAATAATATAATGAATATGTTTACTGATGGCAAAATTTTAATCTCCATAAATTATTCAAATTTTGACCCATTTCCACGTACCGCGGTCTTCCTCAAGGTGGAATTCTAAGCACTATCTTGTATTGCAATTACGAATATGACCTGGAAAAGTACTAGGAATTACCCAGCTAGCTGATGATGTCTGTTCTTATTTGAAAGAAAAATCGATAGTAGGTAAGGAAACTGTGCAAGTGAGCTATACCTATTCTAGAGGAAAAGGTCTCTTCCTCTCGGAGGATCGATAGATATGGAGGGACTTTTCTTCAAAGTTAGCATGGCGGTAAAATTTTTTGGACTAATACTGGATAGAAAACCTACAGAACAAATCATATAGATTATATAATCGCGAGATGGGAAAATATCTCAGCACATTAAGATGTTTCACCGCTGCTAGATGAGGTGCTGATCCTAAAGCAGGAATGTGAATCCGTATCTTGCCTCAGAAGTGTAATCGACTTCTTTATGGACAAGCCGGTAATACTCGTTTAAATAGTCTTAAAGTTTTCAGGAATAAGCGCCTACGATGTTCCTTGGCTATTTGACAGATACTCGATAGTTTTATAGAGATATATATGTACAAAACGCATTTGTTGAGGGCATGCACTTAGCCAATTGCGAAAGAAAAGGCAAAAAAATCACGATTAGATCAAATACTTACAGACTTCAACTGGCCGTCGACACGGAAACTAGGGTAACGTCCCTTGTACTGGAGGATCCCACCTGAAAGAGAAAACAACATTAGAAACACATTATGTAGTATATAGATTAAAAAAAAAAAATATATATATATAAAGTTAGTGACAATGAACTCGCCACCACCAGAAATTTCGGGACGCGGTGGCCAAAACTGCAGTACCTATGGCAATGCGTAGATCATCCGTCTTGGACAGACACGATAACGAGGTTTACATCGCCTTTGAAATTCAAAAGATCCCGAACTGGTAGCTGTTATCGATTGACCCCAAAGGTCACCCACTTATAACATCTATCTTCCCAAAACTGCAAGGATGGCGGCGATTGAGGGATTGAGAATTCATCGGCCATTGAAAGAAACATGCTACCAAAATTTTCAACGATGTTAAACAACTAACCTAGGTAAAACTATCTCTGACCTTGAAAAACTATTCAACATAATTTTTGGAAAGAAAGCAAAATGGAAAGATAAATCAAAAGAAGAAAAACCTGGAGCTCTTCCATGGTATATATATGGCTCAAAGAAGGGAAATAGTGCGGGTATCGCAAAAAGGCAACTATTAGTCAGTAAAGTAAGTAAAGTAATTCCTGGCTTACAGAAGGGATTAACATCCAATTAGCCATTGGGTGTCGTGGACAAAAAAAGGTTTTTATAACACATTTTTGTTGTATTTTCATTTAAAAAACCGTGAGCTCGCGGAACGCAAGCGTAGTAAATACAGTCACCCTAACCATTCGGCCACCGCGCTCCCCTATTGGAGCACATTTTTTCCAAATGTCGGAACAGGGGACCCAAACATTGCCGTGATCAAGCCCAATTCTGATATCGGATGGCATTCCTACTCACTCTCTATGGCGTCAGTTTAACTTTTTATTGGTGGCCGCAACAGTTTAGGCGTTGTCACAGCGCTCATCACTGTAAGGTAAAAGATCCCGGGTTCGAATCCAGCGGCCCTGCATTCGAAACCGACTTACATACTTACAAATGGGCTTTTTTTTCAAAAACACCGGCACCCTGAGGTGTTTTTGCAGGTCGTTGCAACCACTGACACCCCTTGGTTGATTTCTTGTTTCTTAGTCTTCTTGGTTCGCTTAGGTTTTTCCTTCTTGCTTGACCACCTAATTTCTGCAGGAGTCATTTACTTACGCCAACACTTATGTATGTGGTTGGAGGCAAGCTGATCTTTTTTATTGTTTCGGTTTTTATCAAGATGACCGAGAATATGCAGATAATATCTGTACAATATTGTCATTGTCGACCAGTGCAATACTAGTTCATCCACTGACGGGCCATCCCTACCAACACATTTACCCCGCTTGAACTATTCTGAAAGGTTTTTGAAGGCGAATGCAACGGTGCAAACTATTTCAAACATTATTTGTCCTTCTCCAACTTCTTTAAAAACGATAATAAATCAATTGCTCATGGCCCTGAAAGAAAAATTTCGTACCCATTTCCTCAAGTAACATTGTCCATCATAACGTTCTGGATGTAGCTCGTGAAAGCGCGATTCAGTCTGGTGGAAATTTCGGTCCATGTCACTTAATATTTAAAATTGAATGTACATCAACACTGACGGTACCGAGGAAATATAAACCTTATACGCCTTCTACATAAAAATATGAGCATAAACGAACATTTGCAAAGAACGAAATGGTAGGGCGAGATCGCGTGAAAAACAGATAGTGCCCCAAGGTGTATAGTGATATATCTCACCTAGTATATCATAAGCAAGTGGATTTCGGCAAGAATGAAAAACAAGAATAAGTAAGTAGGAAATAATTATAAATCGTTCGAAATAAAAGCCATAGTCGTCCACTGCCTTTGATGATAAACATTAAAAATGCATTATAATATGGTTGAATGCAGTGTAATAGTAATGTGTTACATTCGATGTACTATGAAACGAATAGACCTTTTTTAACCGAAATGAAGTTGGATTTAGAGTAGCAAACATGAAAACATATTTAATGACAAATAATGTCCTTCAAAAGCTGACAACAATTGGCAAAGATATAGGGACTGTAGGTCCTGCAGTTTCCAAAAGCTAAGAACATTTATACAGAAAGAGAACAGTGGAAAGCGAATGGATAATCTTTCACTTTGAAAATAATATTTACATTTGCCACGAAATGATAAGAATCATCCTGGATACAATGCATTCGAAAAGTGGGCTTATTGTCGAGTCGAATTTCGTCAAGATCCTTAATCCTTAATAAATTTTCCTTCAAAGGAACAATTCAATCCCATAAAAAAGAAAATGAAAAGGGCCTGTCCAGAAAATACCGTATAACCGAGTTTTCAAGGAAATTTAAACATTTAAACAATTCAAACTGTATCTTACCGTCACTGAGAAGACACTACAGTTAAACTGATAATTTCGAAAGTGAACACATGTTTTGGTTTTTTCTTTCGTCGTTTTGAGAAGGTAACACTGACACGGTTTTCGAGCGAGGCGTCACCGTGACAAATTCCGTCCCGATTTCACATGAAGCCATGGCACGCATCTTTCATGAAATGGACTCCAGCGTAACATAAGAAAAAAAAATCCCTTAACCATCCAACGGTGTTTAAGTCAATTATGAGACGAGTTATAGGCCAGGACCCCATTGATAAACGCCAAGACAATGACCTGACAAGGAATGGCCAGAAACTCGCGATTCCGACAAAAACACATTTATAATGCAAAGAAAAAAGAAAAAGACAATAAAAATCGTTTTAAAGGTCAGCAACTGTTATCAATAATCCATCAATAAGGAAGTGTCCACAGTTCACCCAACACTTCAAGGGCGAGTATTTACGCCATTGCATCAAACTGTTTGTTCTTGACTAAAATTATATAAATAGTAAAAAATGTTTTACATTTTATGATAGGCTTTACATATGTATTTGTGTATAGGAGTGAACTTGATTCAGTGGGGCCACATTGAAAGCCATTTCTCGTCTGTCTTCTTGGGTCAAAGAACCTGCTTCGTTTTAATACGTTTTGTTCCCGTTGTTTCTTTTTTTACCGGTGCCGTTCGGAGTCTTTTGTGAGATAATCATTTACGTTGGAAAATCTATGTAGTTTTCTAATGTTCTACTAAGCGTTTCGTTGAACTTGTGCTTTGGTTCACAATTAGGATGAGTCATATTCAGCCGACCGAACTTCGGGGCAACGACACCTGAGTCACTCGGTTGGCCGGCGTGAAGAACGCCTCCCGTCTGTTCTGAGGCATTTCCGACGAGGCCTAGGTGAGTGTCAAGCGTGTGTGTATGCAGAGTTGAACATGTATAAATCAGTAAATCATAATAATAATAGTGTAATTAAACTTTAATTTTTTAATGTTTTTATCTCAACCCCTTAAACAAAATAACGAGGTAATCAATACGTCGATCACCGATCGGTAGTAGGCGAATGTGCCCACTCACATAGGGGTGTGTAGTTGCCTGAAGATAGATGGCAAGTTGGCATTTGGAAAGGAATCGAACAGCCTTTCGATTATTTCGGTCGTCCCTTCCGGCCAGGTGGCTGACAAAAGTGACGATGTACCCTCGGTCCGAGGACGTACCGGCCTTGTACCTTCGGGAACAAAGACGTCCCGGAGACGCCATTAAAATGTGGATTGGAATGTGTGGCCGACGCACCGATCTAGAAAAAAAGTAAAACGTGTGCGTGGGTGTGAATTATCTACATATAAATCTGCAACAGTTGTTAATTCCAGCATAAAGAAATCATATGGACATTTGTACATTTTCAATTGATTAACACTTATTATTAATAAAGTCGATTTATTATATAAAAGGCGGAATAAAATCAACTATCCATCAGTATAAATCTAATTATGAATTTTTATTACATACATAAACTTATCCAAAGGTTGAAAAATCCCTAGTTCTCCGTGGTTGAAATATTTTATTCAATTTTGTCTATTACATGGACGTTCGGGCCTCCAGCCCATCATCAGAACCTAAACATGGAAAACGTCATGGTACAATTGCCATCCAAAGATACACACTTACGTAATTTACAACTTTTGATTTACTTATAGCCCTGAAGATGATCTCAATAAAGATCGAAACGTTGACATGATAAAGAAAATGTTTTCTAAAACCTACGTAACACCAGACCGCATGTCATGATATCCAAATATTAATAATCGGAAGTAATCGATTCTTGTATTTCCTATCAAATAGACCACGCTACATGTTTGACACATTCATCAACCTTCAATTCCTTGCTTTTCCCATCATTACATAACACGAAAAAGTGTTAGTTAAATACCCTTTTACTACATCAACCATATTACGGACGGCCCATATCATGCAGTTTATAAAACAAATATTTAAATTCTACTAAAATAAATGCAACCTTTAAATGTATGAAGAAAGCATATTATGTGTGCGTATTTTTGAATTTTTGAAAATCAATATGCGTCATACTTTCAAACACAATATTTAAAATATATGTACTTAATTAACCATTAATACTAATCCATCAATAAGGAATATTTCGTAGTCCGATTGACCAAATAACTTCTTTCAATTAATTAATCTATATGTCCTGTATTGGTTGAAAAATGGCAAAAGAAAGATTCGAAAGGTTGGTTGAGATGGGAAGATGGTGTCCGAGTGGATCGAAATCACGATAGCTCAAGTGGTAGAGCAGCGGCGTATTTATTTCAACCAATACCTTACATAGAGATTAATTAATTGAAATTAATACTAATAATCAATTAATTTTACTGCAAAGTACCGAGTGCCCGGACAAATAGGTTTGGAGGTTAACGAAAAGACGGACAAGGTGGCCAAGGCCGGGACGTCCCAACCTCCGGACGTTACCACCGCGATACAGCCCTCAGACGTAAAAAATGCAATCAAGTTTATCGGGGGCGTCTGTGGCCGCGACAGTTTAGGCAATGACACGGCGCTCATCACTGCAAGGTCAGGGTTCGAATCCAGCGGTCCAGCATTACAACCCGATATACTTATAATTAAGTTTTTTTTTTTTTTTCAAAAACACCATCAACCCGCCGGTCCATTTAACTTCATAGGTGAAATACCCTCGTAAAAAAGTAGTTCGGATCGGCAGAGTTACTCCTACATATCAAGAGTACACATCATCACGGATGCCCCTTTCAATCGTAAAGAAGGAATACGACTTATTCCTACCTATATTAAGGTTAACGCACCAAAGGCGCTCCATATAGAGAACGTGTAGGAATGTCTCCCGATATGAGAATTGTGCTTGAACGCGGCAGAGAGTATTTGGGTCCTATGTTCCGACTTTTTAGAGGAAAAGGCCTGTTTTATTGTACATATGTATATATATATTACACAGGGCGGGCGACCAGGACCCGAGGGGTTAAAAGCCTGAGTAGGCCCGTACCCCATCCCTAGAAGGTCCGGGACCTGGTCGGCTCACGAGTCCTGTATAAACCTATTGGACCTATTCACAAACCCCAGGATTGTGGACCATTTTATCCTGGGGAGTGTTTTGGTTATGTCCTCTCCTTCGAAAGTATTAAATCTTTCCCTAGCATACCTATCGCATTCTGCGAGGTAGTGTCGGGCCGTTTCTTCTTTTGTTTCGCAGAAGCGGCAGAAGGGGTCTGGTAGAGTACCCATTATGAAGAGGTGTCTTCTCAAGGGGCAATGGCCCGTTAGGATACCTATCAGCCTCCTTATTCCCCTCCTAGAGTTAGAGAATAGCCATTTCGATTCTTTAGGTTTGATTTCCTTCAGAAACTCCTTCGATTGTCTGCATCCTGGGGACATATTCCATTCCTTTAGGAATTGTTTCATGCCCCAGCTACCTATACTCTCTTTTGCTGTGCTTAAAGAGTGGGGTAATACCGGTTGTGGTCCGACGAACTCAGTATTTGAACCTTCCTTGGCCAGGCTGTCCGCCTCCTCATTGCCATAGTGCCCCTTATGAGCAGGTATCCATATGAGGGTTACCCTATTCTCATACCTGGTGATAGTCCTATTAATGAGTTCAACGGTTTCCTCTACCAGTCTAGATGTTGATAGTTCTTTTTGTAATGATTTTAGACTGGCCTGACTGTCGGAAAAAATTTTAATATCTTTTCCCTTAATCTTGTTATCCATCAGTGTTCTACAGCAGACATTAATGGCCCAGACCTCTGCCTGAAAGACCGAGGTGTTATTACCAAGAGGATAGGAGATGCTGATCCCTAATTTAGGTATGTGTATTCCAGCACCACTTCCCTTATCCTTAATGAGTGAGCCATCGGTGAAGCAATCTAGGCTACGATGGTCATCATCAGACCTATAGTTATAGTCACAGGGAGTAACTACCTGAAAGTACTTTTTCCCTAAAGGTGTTTTCACCTTTTTATCGCTTAATTGTACATATGTAGTATTTATTGATAGATATCTCAGTAAATGCATTTATTAGTGTGAATGTGAAGTGTAAGAAGGCCGATGGCGGAATATTGAGTGCTCCACAGACCATCAATTTGCTTAGTTAGATAGTATGTGTACAGGTATAATTAATGGAGGAATCGAGTACTCTACCATACCCTACCTGAGTGTGTGGTATTGCTAAGCACTAATAAATATTATAATCAATCTTCTCAGGTTTAACAAATAATAAATATAATTGTATATATCAATTAAATTGTATATATGACTTAAGTAACGTAAGTTCATATAAGTATATACAAAAACGATGTTTCAATTTTGTAATGTCTATTGCAGTTAGATATTAATATCGTGTTTTTAACGCTTATTGACGGACTGAAATAGGATCTAGTCAAATAGGGCAACAGGTGCCTTGGAAAAAAATGTTTGTAAACAAAAGTTTGGGCCGGTTCCACGCCAACGGCCGACGCCAAAAATGTAACGTTTTAATCTTGGCCCGAGGATGATTCAAATGGTCGTCGATGAGAGGAGGCTGCACAATTAAAATTACAAATTCTTCCTCAGTTGGCAAAAGTTTGAACCGGTAGAACGATCAGAATCAATACAAGAAAATAATCCATTAATTTCATTTGTAACCGCAATATACCTGTTATCAAGGGTTATATACACACACAGATTGTCTTAGTCGTGTGCAAAAACTTCGCAATGACAAAAAGTTATATATCGCAGTCTACATCATTATAGAAATCCTTGAACTTGCAGCAATGATCAGGTCTAAAGGTAATAAAATAGTAATCACTTGGATCAAAGGCCATACAGGGTTTAAACGTAGTGATGTAGATCGGCTTGCCTGAACCCAGAAAAGATCTTCATGCTATATTAAGATTACAGCTGCAGATAGATTGGCAAATTGAATACCTGTCAAATAACAAAAGGATCAGATACAAAAATACATTTCCGTTGGTAGCAACATTGGTTTACCAAAGAAATTAATATAACTAAGGCATTTTGCAAAATAATAGTATGGTTAAGATAACGGAGTGTGCAAGGGATATCTCAACAGATTTAAATTAATTTAATAACGGATTCACCGAACTTTGAGGACTGCGGAACATATGACCATCTCGAACACGTGCACTGCAACAAACATGCAAATGAACGCAGAAATTTGTTCGACAGACTCTCAAATGCCAAAGAAATAAATCTTCAACCACCTTACGGATACAAGGCTCTAATATCATCAACCGAATTAGCTATGTACCGTGAATTCTATAATTTTATTATGAATATTAATGTAATTGTGTAAATAATGACGTATAAAGTGAGTATTAGTATTATAATTAATTAAGGTTTTTAGTTAAGATAA